CATATGCATACATGCTAATCATTTCCCAAGGACCAAGTTCATTTAACATCAATCTTTATAACATCATTTCTTGAATTTAGTAACTTAGTTTGTAATTTCTCATCACAGTTATATTCTGGTCTCCTTTAATATCTTTTATCTCCACATCACTTTAAGATTCATAAATTTTTCCCTTTAAATTTGATTTTATTCTTTTAGATGTCTGCTGCTTCAGTCTCTTTGAGGATAAAAGGAAACATTGAAAGATATATGAGCTACAGTAAAGTCCTTTTCATTAGCTCAACTATTTATCATTTCTTTGACCTCATCATATTCATTTCTGTAATTATATTTGCTGCTGTTATTATATAAAATAATAACTATAATATCTACACCATTTATTGAGCTCTTTACAAAGTACTAAACCATTTTTATATATATATACATATATACATATACACACACACACACACACATATATATATATATATATATATATATATATATCATCTTAACCTAATCACTGCCCTAGGTACTTGCAATCAAAGGCCTACTTAATAGACAAAGAAACTGAGACCACCAAAGTGAGTTTGCTTGACTTCAGGCCAGGTTCTCATTACTGCACTGTACTTGGACTGCTGCCACATTCTGATGATATTGGGGTCTTAAAATACTCCTGACTTACAAACACCACTCTTGTAAACAGTTCATTTCTGGCCAATACTAACCAGCCCCAACCTGTTTCCTCTCTTCTGTGCTGGTTTTGAACGTCAATTCAAAACACATAAGACTGGCAATGGATGTATGTTCTCAGTGTTGGAAAGAGAAAAAGCTCTAACATAAGTGGAACAGCTTAGTTAACAGTGGTGATCCACTTGCCAAAAATTCTTTGTCTTTAATGGTTTGAAATGTTTTATATTGATACTGCCTGTAATTCCATTAATGTGAGTTTTATTTATATTTACAGAGCCTTTAACAAAATAAAACTGTATCGGTGTTGTTATTCATATTATAAAGTAAAACTTTAGTTGGGTTTCTTTTCTCCTACAATGTCTCTAAAATTGTACCTGGGTGCATAAAGTCTGGGAGAAAAAAGTGGCAAGTACCTAGGATCAGGCATGCATAATGAATGGAGAAGAATCTTCTCTATTCTACATTGTCCTCTGCTCCCAGAACACTAACTCAATCTATTAGATTATGGGTTAAATAGATTAGTATGAACTTCCGGGCCACTTCTGAAAAGTTCTAGACAATTTAGAAGTCATATTACTTAATTCTAACATAATGCACTTGAGTGATAAATAAGAAAACAGAAATAAATATTGTACCAATGAACTGCATTGTATTCTCTGTTGAACTGTTAAGAACTACCCTTTTAAAAATATCTTCTGGGATCATTTAAAAATATAAAAATGGCCTATTTATAGAATAAATTCCATGTAATTAAATAAACATTACCAAATTCTCTATATTAATTTTCAGATATATGCACTATTTAATTTTCAATTAATGCTAATTATGTTCATTAATCACTGTAAAACCCATAGAAGTCTAGTTACCCAATACTGTTATTGTAGTGTGAACTGTTAAATTTAATAGACAGTCACAGTTTTCTGAAATGGAGAGCAGAATATTGGTTTTATAGAAAAGACAAAAGTGGATCCATAAATTTCTGCTGAGAGTAGAACAAAAGAATCACATTTGGGCTGGGACAGATACTAGGAATGCAAAAGTCATGAAAAGGGGACACTGGGCACATAGTTAAGTTCTGTTTTGAGAGAAACTATTGAGAAGACATTTGAGGTTAAATAGTAATCATATCTTCACATGCTTTTTTGCTGCTTTTAATAAATACTTTGTTTTCCTATTTCCTAGTATACTTAAATTATTCATAGAAAGTAAGTTAATAGGCACTGTTCTACATATGCTTTCAAAATAAGTTACTGAGATTTTTTTAATTAGTAAGATAATATTTCAAAATAAATTGTTCAAAACAAACAAAAATTAGTAAGGATTGTTTATACCTATTGATGTTGAAGACAACAGGAATTGAGGAAGGCAATGCCATATAAAATGTGGAATGTGTACTTAAGAAAAACCTTCACATATATTTAAGTAAGAGTACATTCAGTTTCTCAATAGCTTCACTGGGATTTCAAGAAGACAGCTCAGAAGTACAGCATATATTCCATAGGTCTGAGGCTTTGAACTTAATCTCAATTATTTCAATTTGAAAAACCAGATTAGCAATGAATAATACTTTCCATGACTTAGTGGCTATGTAAACATAGGTAGATCACTTAGCCTTTCTATATATTTGTTCCTTCATCTGTTAAATGATTTTTTTCCCCAAGAACTAGATCTAAGCTATGAAAATACAGTAGCAAACCTTATAATTGATACTTGTTCTCAACATAAGTATAAAAATATAGCTAAATATTCCATATACTGAGAGGAGATTCTGTTGAAAAGTTGAATCTAATATTATTATGGAAATTAGTAACTAAATCTGTATGTGCCTTTGACTGAAAAAGAATCCTCTGTAAATTTCTCTCTGATCTACAAGAGAGGAAGATCAAAGTAGGGGTGATGGGGAAATAGATGTCCCAGTAGATTGTTTGACATCAGAAAATCACTTGCAGTGGGACAAACTAGAGTTGCTTTTTGGGTCCTTTTAAAATATTGTTTCTTAATGACTTAGTTATATTTTTGGTTAAACTGAATGCATATTTCCAGCAACGAAAACAGATGGATAATTATTTGGCCTTCAAGTGATAAGATTTGTTAGACTAAAAGGTATTGTTAAGGTATCCAATTACTTATCAAAACAAAGTCTCCATTTTCAACCTTATTCATCACTGGCTTCTATCTAAAACACTAATACAGCAAATCAACTCTTTCGGATATCTATATGTAAATTTTACAAGCAAGTAAATTTTAGAGCAGTAGTTCTCAAATTTAACTATGCATCAGAATTACCTGGTATGTTTGTTAAAACATGCAGACCCCACACCCAGAGTTTTGGTGAAATGGACCTGGAGAGGACCAGAGAATTACACTTGTGAAAGTCCTCAGATAATGTCAATGCTAATGGTCTGGGACCACACTTTGAAAACCACACCTTAGTGAGTACTTAGAAAATTATATTGCTTAGTATAACTAGTACGTTGCCAAGACGTAAATTTTTTTTAACCTAAAATAATTGGAGTCAAAGTTATAACACTTTGGAGCTCTAGGCACTCATTTATTTATGAACTGGAATGAAATCAAAGCTTGTTTTCCTGGGGGAGGGGGTGGAGAGGGATTGGGTCATGTCTATGGTATCCCTTTGGTCCACCCTCCTGTAATCAATTTCTGTCAGATACCCATAATGAGTCATTGGTCATGCTTCTGATGAATATTTTTATTGGATGAAAAATGAAACCTTGTTTTTTGTCTTACTTTGTGATCCTCACTTCTTCACTGAAAATATCATATAGAATATTACATGCACTTTAAAAAATCATCCACATTCCTTCCTGAAGTATAGAGGATTGTAAACAAAACAAATTTGTGTATCTGAAGATATGTTTAAATAAATTTTGATATCCTACTTTATTAGGACTTTATACCTTGCTGTTCAGATTATATAAAATGAGTAAATGAGAGATCACAGCAGAACAGACACCACAAAAAAAATCAAGTTTGTCTCTTTATTCTGAGGCAGAAATACCAAATGGTACCTGGGAAGACACAGGTATCACTTCTGGTAGCAAGCTCAAAAGGTTACAAATACCTGAAACATTATGTCATCACAGAATTATTTTCTGTGAAATTTACTGAACCATTTTGAAGTTCTTCTTTTAGAGAAAAGTTCCTAGAAGTTTAGGACTGTCTGAATAAAGGCAAGGTTATTTTTATCAGTCTTAAATTTATTTTCTCTGGCTTTAGGCCTATGCTATTTCTACAGCATCAGGAATCTGTGATGAATAATTCTGTATTCACTATGGCACTATATATGTAATTTGGGGAAGAGATTGATGGTTTATTTAGAAGATGATGCTGATATAAGAATCTCTGCCTCTTCTAAGCTGTACCATGGAGAAACTAGACACTTGTGCTCCCTACCACATATGCATATCTGACACAGACAATTATACTTAGTACATCTTGACTTTATCAAAGAATTGATAAGGTAGTTCAAAGGAAAGAAGTTCAAGGTTAAGCAGGTAAGGGTAATAAAGGCCTACATATCTGATAATCCAAACTTTTTCTCTAACACACAGATAAATACACAGACACAAATATTACATGATTGCAATGATTACATTACTACACCACAGAGCAAATATCTAACAATTAAATAGTATGAGTAAGTTTTGTTATTTTCATCATTTTAATTATATTTTAAATAGGTACTTTAGGGCAAAGTCTTTTCGTGACTTTGGCCATAAATAATAGCATAAACCTAAAAATGCTGTGAAAATGTAAAAGCAATGAAAGGTAAGAACAATAATATAATACTCTATTTCCTGCATTGGTAAACTTCATACCTCAACTTATTCTCAAAATTTAAGTCAAAAGTCAAAAGTATTCTGCTAAAAATATTTTTAAACTCCTTACAATGCCTCATGAGTTTGTATTTTTTCCCAGTAACTCATTAATAAATCAAATTCAATTAAAATGGAAAAAAATCTACATGTAGGAAAGCCATCAAAAAATAGAAGTTCTTCCTAAACATTTTTGAGAGTGGTAGGACCTTCACAGGTTTTATAAAATGCAAAATTTGAAAATATTTGTTCTTCAGATAATTTGTGATGTTTATGTCTTTAAACCCCTACATTATTTTTTTTAAATGAGGCAAATTCTATCCCTAACAACTTGTCTATAAACATATAAATTTTTAGCACTTGATAATAAAATGGGGTCACTGCATTATATGTTTGTGCCTAACTAATCTGCCTTCAGCAATTTAAGAAAATCTAATGGTTTCGTATGATTAATTGATTATTTTACAACTTTTAAAAAGAAAAATGTCTTGCCTTTGAATGGTAATCTTGTTCCAGTCTGGGATCTGATCCGGCTACCTGTTTGTATTTGTTAATTTTCATTTGGCGATTTCTCTCCTCTATATCCATAGCACCTATCGAGTAGAAAAAAACCCATAAAATTAATGTTCAGTTCTTATTTCTGAGCCCTACTTACAGGATGTAAAATAAAAGAAGAAATGCTAGACTGATATACTACTTTCACTCAAGGTAGAATGTACAAATTAAATGTCTTAATTTTTTAGATTTATTTAAACTATGCAATTTAGTGAATAAAAGCATGATTATTAAATACATAATTGAAATCTGAATAAAATGTAAACAAATTTAAACAGAAGACAACAAATCTTCACTAAGTAGAAAACACTTTCTCATACATGTATGTTCAGGAGAATATATTTGACAGCACATAAATCTAACCATAGTAATAATAAAAAGTTGGGTTTTTAATTAATCAAAATTTGGCTCATTTACTGGAAAAAACTGTAAGTCAAAATGGTCTAAATAATATTTTAAAATTGCACTTAGAAACTAATATCATAAAATTAGTCCATCTATTAAAGCAAGTTGCCCCCAACACATGTGGATCCAATTATCGAGATTTTTTGAACTTGAATTTTCTAGAATTAGGATCAAGAAAAAGTCCCGGGGAATAATATTGCTGAGAAAATACCATGCCAATAAAGGCACAAAATGTTACTTAAATCATTTCAGAAGAAAAAAAAAAGGAATGCAAGAAAGTGAACTAGTAGGCCTATTACAAAGTGAGATTAATCTACTAATAGGTGTTACCTCAAAACACATCAATTACAAGTATCAAAGGGTCTTTAAAACTTTGGTAACAAGAACTAAATTTATTTAGCAAACCTTAGTAAATACAAAAAGTGTTTTAAAGTACATTTATGATTTTTATTAAAGAGACTTTTTATGAAATTCCATATTTCATGTACACATACATAATGGAAAAACAAATTTTCAATTATATCCTATGAATCTACAAACTGGGAAAAGTAATCATAACTTAGTAGGTGTAAGTGGTTATGTATTATAAAGTTTTGTATGTAAATTCACAAGCAGTGATGGTAGGTAGGAACGTAAATGCACACAATATAACTCCTTGCTATGTTTATTCAAAGACAGGATATTTATACTCACCCTGAAAAAATTCTCAATGTGTATTAGATAATTTTAAGTTCAAGTGAAAATTAATTAAGAAAAAAGGGGGAAAACAACTTCAAAAGGGAGTAAGAAAATCTTGAATAAAAGAAAATTAATAAAAACGTACATTATGTAACTTCTATGTATAACAGCACTTCTACATAAACTAGCCAAGGAAGTGAGGCAATTTGTTCCTTTTAAGAGTCATGTTTCAATAATAATGTGACTTATTCTGTGCCAAATTATAAAATAGGGAATGTAAATATATATTAATATAAATTTAATCTAAAAATTGAACTAAAATCCAGTGAGTGCCTCTATTATATGAATGTGTATATAGCAAAGTATAGACTTATTAAAATACAATAGTGGGACTGTCTATACTTCAAAATATGTTCTTGGGAAAAATTCTTATTTTCTCCAAGGGCAAGGGAACCAAAAAAAAAAAAAAAAAATCACCCCAGCATCAAAAAATTCTGTCTACTGAAGGAATATAGGAGAAATAGTGTTTGGGAAGTTTCTTTTTGATATCACAGTAGCCAGAAAGAAAAAGAAAAATACCAGATGGTCTCATTGATATCACAGTAGCAAATAGTATTTTAAATATGAATAGCACAAGCAAATGAAGAAGTTTAAACATTTTATATATACGTGTACACAAATATATATACATACATATATATACACACATACATACACATATATATGCATTTTCTAGTAAACTATTTTCTGGGTACTAACCTCCTATGGAAACTACATTAAATTCTTTCTGATTACTAGGTAATAACATGACATACTGGCTAGGTAATAATATGACATACTGGCAAGAACCTGCAAACTTCCCTGTGGAGCTCAAATAAATATCTTAGGCTTTGCATAACATATGGTCTCTAATGCGACCATGCCATTGTAACACGAAGGCAGCTGCAGACCATACATACACAAATCTGTGTGGTTCTGTTCTAATAAAATGGTATTTACAAAGCAGGCAGTAGGCCAGATTTGGTGTCTAGCCCATAGTCTGCTGAACCCTATATTAAAGCATACTGGCTTCATATGAATTAATTTCATATTACAGGTCCTTTCTCCTTAGCAAGGATTTAAAATTTCTGTAGAATCAGGCTTATGTAACATCATCTATATTTTACAGATCACTGGGGGTAGGAGTTCCAAGAAAGATATGAATCTGTATTTACTATAAGGAAAAATATGCAAATAGTGATATAGCAATTTAAATATGTTGTCAGATAAATTCCAATCTCAATCATCATCTATATACGGTCTCTAAATGAAAAATATTTTACGTTAAAGTCTCAACCAACACCTCAACGTTAAAGTCTCAACTCAACGTAACACCTTGGTTGCTCTATATTTAACAAATTTAGGTAAATCTACTTTTAACTTATAACTTTAAATTCTCATAAGAGGATAATCCCTAAAACAAACAGTAACAAGCATGTCTATGCCTCGCTCCAAAATCTTTTTCTACATTTTTTTTTATTAAAAGCTATTCTCAGATAAAGTGCTCCACAAATATTAATACCTGTAGAGAAGAAAATCTCTTATTGATAAAGAGGAATTATCATCATAGGGGATTCTTCACCAACAAGTTGATTATTTTTTGCCCATCATTTTTTCTAAGGAAAATAACCAAGAAAAAATGTTTCCTGTAACATTACTTTGATTTCAATCAAAACAGTATTTTTATTTCTTTCCACTTAGAATGAATAAAAAATTAGAGGAATCATTGCAAGTAGAAGAGCTGTTCACTATCTGCTTGGGAATGGAATATGTAATTTCTAAACTTTCAACTCTAATCGTATACGCTATACTACATAAAAGGATATAAGTGAAAGTACTAGCTACCTTGATAATTTTTTAAATTACAAATAACAATAAAAAAAGAAAGTGTGACAGGCAGGTTTTTGCATTTAAAAAGCCTGAAAATTCTGCAATAAATAATCTTTTGTGTCCAGCTCCTCCCCTCCCCATAAACACACTTATAACTTTTGAAATAGTCTCAAAAAAGGCAGTTTGGAAAGTGCTGTCTGAAAGCTTTCAACTGTAAATTTACCTAGGAAGCTCTACAATTCATACTTTCATATGTTACCCTATGTTTACTGAAGAAAATATTTTAGAGATTTGATGTGATTTGTAATTTGTGTATGCTAAAAAAACTAGTTCAAAATCAAATCAAATATCAAAATATTTTCAAATTAGAACAAGAAATGATTAAGACAAAAGGGACAATTAGATTTCTTATATGAACACATTTAAAGCAAAAGTTGCATATATTGTGTCTATTGAAGTGATAATGTATAAGTGTACTCAATATTAGTCTCAAGTTATTTTTGGTATAAACTACTAATAAAGTAAATTAAGACAATACTATTTGTTTCAATAAATTGTTTCATAAATAATAGAGTTCATTTAAATCATTCTGGAAGTGGGCCTGTAGTTTATAGACATTTATATACAAAGCTTTCTGAATATCCATCAATTTTAGCATTTTTCCTTGACAAATGTCTCCTTGACATTTTAATCAGTTTTTTTTATTGATTTTCCTAATAATTTAAATTATGCAAGGATTTTTTTTTCACACCAAAAATTTTAAAAGAAAAAGAAAAGTCAAATATATAGATGTCCTAGTATTAAGTTGAAAGTACTTGTTTTTTAAATACAGAAGCTCACACACATGTACATACACACACACATATTTTTGGGGTCCCAATGCAACATCACCCACACTTCTTTTAAATAGGGACATGGGTTTGGCAGTGATACAATTTACAATGAAGGTGAACAGTGAGCAGAATGTGGCAGGCTTGCCGAGGGGTTCACCTAGTGCTGTTCAACAAATACTCAAATCTGGGAATCTTAAGAGGGGAAATCTCTTAAACCCAGTATCAAAAACACAAAGGAGGAACCTCAAAATTTAAGGAAAAGAGAACTTATGATTATAGACATCATGGAAGTCTAAGATTATTAATCTTATTTTAATCCAGAAACTGTATTGGTTCATACCCCAAATTCTTGCAACCCCCTCACCCCTTTTACTATTTCAATGTAGATATTTAGAATCAGGTTTTTGACGTCTTGCTTATCTGAGAGAAAAATGTCATTATGTGCCTATCTGTTTCATAAGAGTTTCTGATGAGAATAATGATGCCTGTAATTCCTTTTTCTTTGATTGTATGACATCTTTACAAAACTAAGATATGCCTTTTAATAATTTGAGGTTAGGAAACAAACTTATTTATTAATATTTTTTAACAAATTAATATATCATTGTAAAATGATCATTAAACATTTGCATTTTATACATGGATGTACTCTAATTTTTTTCCTTTTAAAAAGATGTTAAATTTGTTTTCCAATAAGTTTTAGAATAAAGATCATGTTTTCAGGGCCTCCCCTGGTGGTGCAGCAGTTGAGTGCTAGGCTGCAAGGCTGCCTGCAGCCTCTGCAGCACCGGTTTGTTCCCCCGCCACTGGCGAGGGTCCCACAAAAAAAAAAAAAATCATGTTTTCAATAATAGTGAAGGTTTCAAACAATATCTTAATAGTGAAGGTTTTCATTAATAGTGAAGGTTTTCCAACACAAACTTTTTCTCTTGAAACTATCCAAATAATTGATAACAATATACAAAGTGCAGCCCTAGCAAATCAAATATTTTCATAAAATACATAAAAATAAATGTAATCTGAGAATAAAAAATATTATCTGAAGCCCTTTTCTAATTGAAGCTAAAGAAGTATATAACTTATATAGCAGAAACATTTTTAAATTATGTATATACCAAACCATCCAGGAGAAGGGAAAATAATTTCTTTTTAATTATGCTACTGAATCCCAGTTTAGAAAAAATTTCCAACTTCTAGGAAAATACAGTGTAGAAGAGACACAAAACAAAAGATGGTTGTGGACAGCAATAAGT